TTATTTCTTAGACTTGATTTGTAGGAAGAAAGAGAGAGAGAAAGAGAAAGAAAGAAAGAAAGAAAGAAAGAAAGAAAGAAAGAAAGAAAGAAAGAAAGGAAGGAAGGAAGGAAGGAAGGAAGGAAGGAAGAAACGAATAAGAAAGAAAAGAGCCAGCTGCAGTCTTGAGCGCTGGAGTGGGTGCTTTCTCTTGTGCCCACTAGATGGCAGGTGTAGGATTTGGAATACCTTGCTGCAGCTGCATCTGTCAGAGTCTGCAGCAGCTCCAGATGAGCAAACCCACTGGGATGAAAGCAGGAAATGTTAGAAGCAATTCTCTTCCTTTTCCTCATGGCCCATCCCCTCCTTGCACACACCGTTGTTTATTTTTCTTTTAAACAAAAAATAAAGGAAAGAAAAATCAATGAAAAGTGGTAAAAGCCAGTAGGGTTTCAAATAGTCATTTAAGTTCTATGTAGAACTATATACTGTAAAAGAGGAGCTGCTTTGAGAGTTTTCAGTTCCTGTTTAAAACAAAACAAACAAACAAACAAACAAGCCATGAAACTACAGTACCTTAACAAGTCACACGTTCTCCTGAGAAATATTCCAGGTGTCTTCCTCCCTCCCCTTCTTTCCTTCTTTCTTTTTCTCTCTCTCTCTTTTTTTTTTTACTCCGAACATATACTGTCCAAAATCATGTGTTGCCTCAATGTGAGATCAGTGCTTTAATTTTTTTCACAGTTGAAGGCAAAGGAACTGAGTTTTCTGTTTCAAAGGGTGTGTGCCTTTCCAACAAGGGGCCAAGGCTTTGGAAATGTAAAGGGGCAATCTTTGTTACAGAGGGGCTCATTGCAGAGAAGGGTGTGTTCTGTAAAGACAAACAGCTCTCACAGATAGTTGCCAAGGGCACCAAACACATCTTTGCATTACACCGTGAACTAGCGTGCTCATATCACCTCTTTTATTGCATGCACCATAAATGACTGTAAAAGTTTGCAAATCTTGCAGAGACCTTGGCAATCAATACTTCAACAGGAAATTTACAAAGAGGACAGGGGAGGGGTCCATCCCAGTAATTTGCTTTTTTTTTTTTTTTTTTTTTGGCACAAGACCGTGTGCTGACATTGAGAATTATTAAGTGGTCGATTTTCACAGTGTCTCTTTCAGGTGCATAACATAGTCAGAGTGGCTTCAGTTTAGATGCTCAATTTGAAATCTTGGCTTTGCATTTTTTATGGACAGGTTGGAGAGCTTGGGAACAGTTTGGTGGTCTTCCTTATATAAACTGGTCCTCCTGAGCTGTGACTGGAGTGCCAAAGATAAAGTAATTTTAATCTGGGTCAGAGTGGACCCAAGTTGGATGACAGGCTGGTTCCTAATGTGATTTTTATTTTTTAAGTCTCTGATCCATCCTGTCACCCAAAAGACCAGGAAAATACCTGGATCCTTTTTTATTTTGTGTAGGTGCTGAGATTCAACCTGCCTGATGTGCTGGGTTTTTTTCCCCCTTTATTTTGCCTCTCTCTTCTTTATGTTTTGTTCAGTCTCTTTCTTGTCTTGTTGTACCACTTAAAGTTTAAATTGTGGAAAGATGAGGACTTAGTGGAAAGCTCAACTAGACAAAACAGTGGGTGAAGGTACCTGAGATGAAACATGGGTTTGCCACTGCCTCAGGCCCAGGGACCTTCCTCTTTGAAGGTTACTACCCAGAGCCAGTGAAAATGAACTGGCTCCATGCTGGCAAGCTGTGGCCTAGCCTCAGGCTGCACTAGCGAGCTAAGGGAGTATGGATCCCCTAAGTTATCCAGATTCCAGAAGAGTAATCAGGATCATCTGAGAAAGCATGGTGCATGGTGCCTGAGATTCAGGCAGTCCTGTTCCTGCCTTTACCCTCATCCTCCCCCTGCAGCAAGCCCTTCCCCCAGCTACCCACCAAAGCCATGTGACCTGGGTCTTGGCCTTTCCTACCTATGCATAAAACATTCGAGGGTCTTCAGGGAGTTTTGGAAATACCAGCGGAGGCTGTTTTATCCAGTGCTTTGCCCTTGGGTCAGACACAGCTTCCTCAGCTGAGCTTTCGCACAAACCCAGCACAACTCAGGACTCATTTCAGCAGAAGTCTTCTACAGGCAAGTGGCTTTTTTGCCCAAATGAAAAGGGAGGAGGCGTGTGTGTGTGTGTGTGTGTGTGTGTGTGTAGAAATGTTTGAGCTTCATACTTTCCTTTGTATGTCTCCTGCAGGTAAACTTGAACATGCTGTTAGTCCCCTCCACTTCGACTGCCTGCAGTTTTTGACCAACTAAGGCCTGGGTACCCCAGAAGGCTCTCCAAGAATCATGGTTTTAATACTGCTAGCAAAAGCAGCCTCAGACGGCGTCTGTGGGGATCAGACTTCTGCCCTTCACGTGTTTAAGTTCACCACAAGTGGGGCAGGATTGCCCCAGCAGCCAGCTTCAGAAGCCCCGGGTGGGCTTCATGACTCAGCACCCCACTCCGCAGCATCCTCATGTCAGCGGCTCTCTCTAGAACTCATCAGCTCTCCTTGCTGGGTTGGGGGTGAGCTACATTTGTGCATAGCAGCGTTGGCCCTCTTCCTGGGAAAACTGGACTTTTTAGATCATCAGTGTGGTGCTGGGAATTAGAATGGTAGAAAGAAAGAGGGATACGTTCAGGAAGTGCAGTGGAGAGGGTTTTGAGGCCACCGTTTGAACGGTCAGTGTAAGGCTAAAGGGGTCATTGAGGCATAAATACGCGTGTGTAATTTTCCTCCTGCCAGCATCTAGCGAAAGAAGCTTCACGTGTCTTCCAAGAACCTTTCCCCGAAACAGTCTTGCGATCTCTCTCTCCTTGCTCTTTGTGGGCCCACGCCCCACCCACAGGGAGCGTCGGGGAACAGCTCTGCACAACGGAGAGTTTCCATCTCCCGCAACTAAAACCCATGCTATGGGGGAATCGCAATAAATTAGGTTCAGTAACAAAAGGGTCTCAGGCTCTGTGCTTTGGCTTCCCTGATAAAACTGCCAAGCTCTGTGGCTTGGGCCACCTCTTCGTGTCACCTGTTAGTAGCTTGCGTTCACACAGTCGCCCAAAACCACTCCCTTCAGGTTCTTGACCCAAAAAGTCGTCCCTGTTCAGTGAGTTTTCCGCTGAACGAAATTCAGTAATTCTCTCCCATGGTTTCTGAGACTTCACACCCTCTACCTCCTGACTGCTCCTCTTGGCTGCGCCTATCCTCATTAGTCAAAAACAAAAACAAAAACAAAACAAAACAAAAAAAAAGCTGTTGATTAAATTCTCTGGCATACCTTTGAACAGATCCCAAAATTATTTCTTGGTAGATGAGAGAGAGTGTACCACACAGCCAGCAGGCATAACGCAAAATCAAACCTACCGATATTGTGGATCCACGGTGAAATGAAGAGTCCTTTCAGGGCAAATACGATTTCCTTGTTGGGAACAAGGGTCAGGTCTCAGCTTTTGTGACGGGAAAAGGGAGAAGTTCATCGGAAAAGTTTGAAGGTTTTAGGCTGATTATACATTTACATTTAGCATCTTATTAGACAATCCGGACCATCCGAACATCTGAAAACTTTTGTTCTTTTTAAGACAGACTCCGCAAGAAAGCTGTAAACAACGCTCCCGCGGGCGATTTGCATAATCAGTGGCACCCGTTAATTCTAACTCCGCCGCCTTCGCTGACCGGTTGGTATTCTGAGGTGACCTGGATGGCAGCCACTTTCCTCAACTGTTTGTAAGGTCTCGTGGGCAGCGAGCACCCAAACAATGTGTTTTGCCCTGGATATTCCATTTAAGGAAAATTATATGCGATCTGTCTCCTTTGTTCGGATTTCTAAAACAGCTAACTCCTTGTTTTATAGGACCCTTTCAACAAGATACTCAGAAGAGGAAACTGAGAAAGTTTAGTAAATCCCATATAAATAGACAAAGAAAAGAAAAGAAAAGAAAAAAAAAACACCTCGTTGTTTGAGCTCTCTGGCATTGTCACAATACTGAAGTAACAGCCAACCCCCTGGTTAGAAAAGAAAATCCTGTGGATTAAGTAACTGTTTATCTCATGAGCATAATTACTTGTTGAACCTGAAGCTTTTCATTCCTGCAAACACGAGGTTAAACTGATGAGATTTAAAAAAAAAAAAATCGCAGATCTGTCTGTTCCTGTTACAAACTCCTGGGCAAGGTGACCAGCTCTAGCAAGGATGTGTCAGAGAGTATTTCATAAGGAAGAAGATTCTGAAAGGCGCCAATGGGTTCTGGACAGAGTGAGGGGGAAGTTTTCCCTCTGATACATATGTAAAAAGGTACTTATTGACTGGAAACCACCGGCCACTGGAAGGGAAGTGCCTTCTCCCTTCCCTGTCCAGAATCCCTGCAGAACACAGCACCCGCAGGAGTGGGTCCACTCACAGGCCCAAGGCGCAATTTAAAGAAGTGCCCATAGGGTCCGCTAGCGGTGTGGCTGCAGTCCTGCCCTCGGGAACCCATTTAATCCCCTCTAAGGATACTTCCGCCCTTTTCCTGGACCTCTCGGGCGATAAATTAGATTCTCATCCTAGGATCACAGTCTTCTCCCTGCCACCTGCTCTAAAGCACTTCCTAGCCTGAGTAAATGCAGCCGCGACAAGGTTTTGCGCCGAGGGGAGGGGAAAGCGCCTGGTTTCGGACTCGAGGTGGCGGAGAGGTGGGGAGCGGTCAGCTCAGGTTGGAGGCATCAAGCCGCGGGGGTCCTTGCCCTGCTGATTGCAGAATCCGGAGTGTGGCAGTCACTGAGCAATGACTGCGAAGGCCCCCGAGGGCCGCGGTGGTCCAGGCCCGAGGGCTCTGGGAGTCCCTGGCTCTCGAGCCCCAGGGCTGGGGAACCGGGAAATGATTGCTCCCGGGCGGAGGCCGCCTCGCTGCTTTCAGTTTTCATTGAGGCTCGCTGGTTACTGTTTAACATCCCCACCCACGATTCAGTTTGTTTAGTAAATCGATCTCGCTGTGAGAGTCAGGCCCCGGCCCAGTCGCCATTGAGCCAAGCTAATATTCTCCCGGCATATGGTCCCCCAAAATCTTTGCTAGAGATCCGGGAAAACAAACAAACATACAAAACAACAAAATCCCTGAGCCACCTCTCCTTGGGGCCTAACCCCACCTCCCAGCTGGCAGCAAACTTCCTGGCCCCCGGACCGTGCACCGCGGGACACCGCTCTCACGGCGGGTGGGAACCTGCTGCTGGGATGCGGCGCAAGCCGCGCAGCTGAGTGCGACGACGCGGGAGCTTCGGAGCCGCTGGAGTGGGTGAGTCGCTCCGCCCGCCTGCGCCCAGTGCCCGGGAGGACCCACTCCACGCCTGGCTCCTGTCCTCCACTGGGAGTCTCTTTTCCCCCAAAAGGCGGTTGAGAGGCGGAGCACCCTGATCCCTAGGCCTGATACTGTTTGAAAGCAGATCACCCCAGGCCTCCTCCAGCCCGGTTGGGCTAAAGAAAGACTGGAGGCTGCAGGAACTTGAGCATGTTTTAGCCCCTTCACCTGGAAAGGGAAAACAGAAGTTGCATTTGTTTGGGTGTTTGGAAAGCTTAGGTAGCTGTCGCTGGTCACATGACTCAGATTTGTTGGTGGTGTTGGGGGATTCCCTGGAGGTTTTTTGGGGGGAGGTCCAAGCTAGGACATATGACTGAATATTAAGGGACATGAGGTGTGAGGATTGGTGCTCTGTGCAGAAGCATCCCCTACTAAGGCCTTTGCTCTAGTTTGCTCCCATATATTCTTTCAGACATTTGGGGATCAGACACCTTCTGGTGATGCTGTTGGGAACAACTGATTAGGTTAGTAAAAGGATCACTTCCTTTTGGAAGATTTGACCTATTGGATGTTGAATTAATTAATCCACGTTTGGATTAAGTGGCAGTCATTGCGTGCCTAATGGGAGTAAACCGGTACATGACAAGATCTGAGAAGTGGCTGTCATGATCCATGCCTTAGGGGGTGTGTTTTTAAGGGTGTTTGCCAACAGAGCTGAAGTACTCCTTTACAATATGGGAGCTAATCTTGGTTTCCATCATAGGACAAGGACTGGAAAATGTTAAGTACAGGAGCTCAGAACTTTCTGGGAAACATCAGTGGTGGCAGCACTTCCTGTTCGGACTTTAGTTACTCTATTCCGCTTGACAACTTATTTTACAAGTGACTTTTTTTCTTGTCCCAAGCATGTGCTATTCCTCCACCTGGGCTACTACCATTCATAGTCCCTCGGGTCTCACTCTTCTGACCAAGTCACTGTCCGAGTCCCTTGACTGCACTTCAAGACGAATGAGTTGTTGCTGATAAACTAGCCATTGTTTGCTCTTCAAAGCATGGTGGAAATTGATAGCAATTTGCCTTCTCCTTGCTGGTCCCCTGGCTGGTCTTCACTTAAGCATCTACGAATATGGGACCATTCTCGGCAAGCTTTAAAAAGGCACAGCCCTTAACTAAAATGTCACTGCAAAAGATTTCTAGAAACATTCTATTCTGCAATTGTGGCTATAAGTTTATGGGATAGGACAAATTAATTTTAGGGATTTCAAAAAAACAAACAAACAAACAAACAAACAATACCCAGCATGGAAATAACTGTAATCTGAGTGCGCCATTTTTAAACTTGAAAACTGACAAGCAGATTTTCAACAAGTGGTAACATCTTAAACACTGGCCTACACACAGGGCTGCAATCCCAACAAGTGTATATTCATTAGAGTGCTTCAGTACTTTCAAAATCTTTGTTATTTTCTATAAAGTCCAGAAGTAATTCTAGTTTGTAAAGCAACATGCAAATGATAGTAAAATATGAAGAGAATGGCTGGACTCTTTTGTGTAGAGCCTTTGTTGACACTGGGGTTTATGTTTTCACAGTCTTCATGTGTATAGCTCATGAATGTTTTATTGCTGCAAAAACTACATAATAACTCATATTATATCAAAGTGCCTACTCTAAGCTAACTATGCTTATGCCAGGCACACAGAGTACCAATTTTTTAAAATGTTGCCACTCTCTAGTTGAAAAGTGCTTGGCAGTTTGGAGATTACTATGTGAAGATTATTTAAACCATCCCTGGGTAGGTGAGTTCAGGAGTTTGATAGTTTTGCTTTGCAGGTAAAAGAAGGATTGGCAAAGTTTGGAATGCTGTCATGGGCTGGGGATGTAGCTTGGTGGTAGAGCACTTGCTTAGCATGTCCTGTGTTCCCAGAGTCACCAAAGTATTTTTGAGATCCTTAAAGATGCTCCTGTATTTGTTACCATTTGCTAGGGATGGCTGCAGATTCTGGTTCCTGGTGAGAATGTCAATATTCTTGGTGCCATGATGGTCTCACAGTAGTTGTGATCAGTGTAGGTAGTGATTACTATGCTTTCCCTCTTCCTAAAAGAGGATTCTCTTCCTAGGAACAAAGCACCAAATGGAAGGAATGGGCTGTGAATTCATTTTTCTCCTCTTTGTCTACTTTGCCATCTTCATCTTCTTTTTTCCATTTTCCTTTATTTTTTTAATTTTTATTTATTTATTTTTTGAGCAGGGTCTCATTTGTCCTATGCTGGCCTGTCTTTGAGATTGCTATGAATTAATGGATGGTTTTGAATTTATTGCTTCTTTTTTTCTCCTATCTCTTCAACTCTGGGATTACAAGTATGTCCCTATCATACTTGATTTAGATTATGATGGAGAATGAACCTAGGGTTTTTGTACATGGTAGATGAACCCTCTACAAAGAGAGCTAGCTTCTCAGATCTCTTTGTTTTAAGCACAGGGTAGCCCCAGTTCCCAGGGATATTCTTGTGCTGGGATTGCAGGAGTTAGCCACCATGCCCTGCTGGATTCTTTAAAATTATGTAACTGATTTTCCAGAGGGAAGTCTCCAAATCTGGCATTCTGGAATGTCTTCGACAGCCTTGCCTCAGGAAGTAGAGGTAAAAAGAACTTAAGTCGTAAACTGACTCCTCTAAACCATGGAATGCCGTCCTTGTTGACTTAGGCAGAGCATGTATGTTGAATTTTTTTTTTTTTTATAAATTGCATCACAACATCTACTTAAGTTTCTTAATTTGTACCGTTCCTTTAAGTAAATAAATATAGAGCTAAGGAGACAGCTCCATTAGTAAAGTGTTTGCCACACAAGCATGAGGATATGAATTTGCTCCTCCAGAACCAATGTTGAAAAGCCCAGGCATGCTGGGGAAGACTCTTGTAATCTGAACACATGCAGAGAAGGATGGATACCTGGCATTTACATGCCAGCCAGTCAGTCCCTCATCTATGAGCCCCAGGCTGAAGAGAGACCCTGTCTCAAAACCGCAAGGTGGATGGTGGATGGTGCCTAAAGAACACCTGTGTTTGTTCTCTCACCTCCATCCACATATGCATGTGGATACACACATTATATGCAGAAGCTCATGTATCCATAAAAGCACACAAAGAAACTCAGTACAGAAGATACACAGCACCACATTTACAAAGAAGTTTTCCCCGTGTGGGTAGCAACATTTGGTTACGCTGTGATGCATAGTTGCAACTGCAAATACTTCTCTTATTGTAAGGAAGTATCCTCTTTCTTAATTCTGCCACTCCTACACAGACATGGGTGGTTTTCAAATACGGCTTCCCTTCAAAGCTATGCCAGGTAAGGAAATAATCGCATACGCATTTTAGTTAATTCTGTGTTCTTAATATACAGGTGAGATTGTTCTAAGCAATTTTCAAGTCTCTATAATAATTATGCACAGTCAGTATTAATCTCCTTATTTTACAAACAGCACAGATGAAGCAGAAAGAAATAAATTGAGAACGACATTCACAAGGGTCAAAGGCTCCGGGTACTCCATGTGGCTCTGAGCTAAAAAAGAAACCATGGATGACTTATGTAGTCATCCTGTTCAAGCCGTGGGCATCCCCAGATGAGGGGAAGTGAGGACTGAAACCTTGATACTACAGGCAAAGCTGTGTTCCCTTGTTCTTGGACTGGAAAGGTACTTCCAGGTCATAAGGTATATGTGAGATTTAGTTCCTGCTGTGTCCTGTGCAAAGCTCCTTGCTTACATACTTGGGTTCTGATGTAAGTATCTCAACATGCTCTTGCCCATTCACTTTAAGTACACCTTAAAGAGCAGCACTGCCCATACTTGCCATTCTGTAACACAAGACACTGTGGTGGACTGGGTTGTTTATGTGGTAGAATCAGCTGCTAGCATGGAATGCCACATTCTTGTGAGTACCTTTCATTAGATCATTGTGGTTTTCTGTCAGATTCATAATTAGTTCAGAATGTGTTACAAATGCATTTAAAATGTAAGACAAAATTATTATATTCGGAGACAAGGTTTCTCTGTGTCGCCCTGGTTGTCATGAAACTTGCTCTGTAGGCCAGGTTGGGCTTGAACTCAGAGGTCTGCTTACCTCTGTCTCCTGAATACTGGGATTAAAGGTGTGTGCCACCACTGCCTGGCAATTTGTAATACTTTCTTAGAGATTTATTTTTAGTTTTGAGTCTTATATATTCATGTGTGTGGAAGCCAGAAAATGGTGTCAGGTTCCCTGGAGCTGGAATTACTAATGCTGTGAGCCCACTTATTATATGGTGGTCAGGACAAAAGTCTGGTCTTCGACAAGATCTGTGTTCTTACTTCAGTGATTGTCATTTGTATACAAGCAAACAAAGGGCATATGACTTTAAGAATGTATGAACCCCATAGGATCTTGGTCCAGCCCTCTGACTGGCCCTGGACCTCCAGTGATACCAACATATACTGCTGCTGTCTTCACAGAACCTTTGGCTTTCGAGTATGGAGGAAAATCACCCCAGAACTGTTCATCGGCTTGGAACATGTGTTTGGGGCTTGGCATGACTTGTGTGTAAATCAGTTTTGTTGACAGCAAGTTACTTCATGGAGCTGTGTGTTAGTGTAAGCAGTTGTGAAGCCATATTCCCTGACTCCCACACACTCCAAATAATGTGTGAATTCTTTCATTATTCATAAGAGACACTTTATTTGTTACATATGACAGCAAAAAGTTGGCACAAACATCTGGACAGTGGATCTCCATCTGCTCTAAGTGTGTTTGCTGACATCACTTGGACCTGGTGATTTTAATTTTTGAAAGAATTTCACAGCTTCTGTGTTTACGTGCTGTATTTATTAAGGTCTTATTGCTGTGAAAAGACAACATGACCAGCTCCTATAAGGGAACTCTCAGAAGGCAACTTTTATAAGAGAACACATTTAACTGGGGCTGGCTTACAGTTTCAGAGGTTATTATGGCAGGAAACAT